CAAAACACAAAGTCCTTTGACTTCCAGTGACTGTGAGGTTGGGTGCAGTCATGTCAAATCAGAATGCTGTGTTCAGCCCAGACAGGCTGATTTGGTTGACAGACAGCGTGTTAGTCGTGCGAGGGTCTGTCCTGGGTGTTGCAGGGTTTTAATGTGCTGCAGAAGAGATGTTATTGGTTGAGGTGCCTTTAGTTTCATTTTTATTTGGTGCATGAAACCCCTTTTGAATCCCCCTGGCTTTAAATCACTGCCAGCTCTGGGATTTGCTACATTGACATGTTTGTCAAGTTATTCTGGCAAATTCTGCAGTTTGTTTTCTGATGAATTGTGAAAACACGCTGCTGAATTTCCATGTGTCTTTATTGAAGTTTTACATGTTCCTGCAGCAAAGGTGAGTGGCTTTGTTCCCTCTCAAGGCCCTCTTCCTTTAATTTTCATGTCAGATTACTCCAAATTGGGGAAGATACAACCATTTGGGTAGGGCGGGGTGTAGAGTAGTTGCTTTCATGAAATTATTAATAATTTATAGTGATATTATCGCTGGGATTATTTGCAGTCTAAAGTCCATTGTACTTTTCATTAAGCACATGTGCACACCAGATTTCTTCTGAGCTAAGGGTAAAGCTGTAGCTCCGTGGTTGCCTTGTTCTTCAGCCAGGCTGGTGGGAAGGAGATGTTTGAGGATTGTGACAAGGTGATTGCTTACGTGGTGCAAATTCTTTTTGTTTCCATCTTCTCCTTAGGGGCTTGCTGAACCAAACGGACCAGTGTCCCCAGGGATGTTGTTGATTACATTGTTTATGGCACAGTTATCCAGGAGGTCAAAACGAGTAATGTTGCAAGAGAGGTGGGTTACCTGCAGCGTTTCCTGTGAGTCTGGTTTCTGCTGATAGGATGAAGATGAAAAACACTTGGAAAAAAACCCCCAAAATTTAAAAATTCTACTTATTATGGTTCATTTAAATGTGATTTGGGAGTATGAACTAGTTGTGCAGCATTGTCTGTCAGATAACTGCGTGGGACTCTGCCTCCTGTTGAAATGTGCCCCAGATCAAGGGCAGTTTGATGCTGTGAAGCCTCTGCTTGATTCTTCCCTGTGAGAGAAGCTTTTGTTAACAATCACTGATCATTCAGCTCTTAACTACCAGCTGGACTCAAATGCTGCCCTGTCCAAAGTACTTGTGAGAGGACCAGTACATAGAATCACAGCCTGGTTTGGGTTGGAAAGGACCTCAGAAATCATCCAGTTCCAACCCCCCTGCTATGGATGGGGTGGCCAACTGCTAGATCAGGCTGCCCAGGGCTCCTCCAGCCTGGCCTTGAATGTCTCCAGGGATTCCTCCTCCTCATATCCAACCTAAATCTCCCCTCTCTCAGTTTAAAACCATCTCCCCTTGTCCCATCACTCTCTGCCCATGGCAAATGTCCCTCTCCCTCCTGTTTCTAAGCTCCCTTCAGGCACTGGAACGCCACAATGAGCTCTCCCTGGAGCCTTCTCTTCTCCAAGCTCAACAAGCCCAGCTTCCTCAGCAGAGAGGGGCTCCAGCCCTCAGATCGCCTTCCTGGCCTCCTCTGGCCCCACTCCAACAGCTCCACATCTTCCTTGTGTTGGGGGCTCTAGGGCTGGATGCAACACTCCAGATGGGGCCTCCCAAGGGCAGAGTAGATTGCTTTACTGTGGTATTTCTTTATTTTGCTGTGGTATTTATTCTAGTTGGCTGATCTTCACTGTGAGGGTGGTCAGACACTGGAACAGGTTGCCCAAGGAAGTTGTAGATGCCCCCTCCCTGGAAGTGTTGAAGGCCAGGCTGGATGAGGCTTTGAGCAACGTGGTCTAGTGGAAGGTGTCCCTGCTGCTGGCAGGGGGGTTGGGACTGGATGAGCTTGAAGGTCCCTTCCCACCCAAACCAGGCTGGGATTCTATGATCAGGTGCAGCCTGTGAAGGATTTTTAAATGGAGTAACTTCCCTGCCCTTTTTTCTGGCAGGCAGAAAACACAATTTGCTTATTATACACAGAGAGAAGCTTGTTCCCTGAAATAGTTACAGAGGCAGCATGTGATTGTTCTGTAATCTAGAGCCTCTGCTGTTGTTCTGTGCAAGTGGGTAAAACCATGATGTAACCTGGGCTGGAAAGACTTGGGAGGTTATGAGGCTGTCCCGTTCTGTCGGCACTTTTAGGCTTGTGTATGCAAATACTTGCTTTGGTCACCTGCCAGTCAGATGAGGCTGCTGTGTAATTTTAACTTGGGAACAACTGTTGAACTTTCAACTAGTTGGCCAGGTCTCAAGTAGGGAAGGTCTGGCTGTGAGCAGTTCTCTCGTGATGAGAGGCCGTGCTCTTAGCTGGCTCAGATCACACACTGCTTTCTGAGCCACAGGAAATGTTTTCTGTTCTGTGTAAAACAAGTCACGGTGCCTTGTACTGAGGGGTCTAAATAATTCCTGTCATGTGTGGCCTTTGCAAGTAAGGTGAAGCAAAGATGATGCCACGTATTTGAAAGCTCTTTGGAAATTGTGAGGCGTGTGATTAGTTTGTCCCTTGATTAATGGGGGGGGAGAGTGACCACATGGGTAACGTGAGTGAGAGCCCTGGCAGCAGGGCAGCTGCTGTCTCCTCCTGTTCCTGGGGAGGGGATGAGCTGCTGCAGTAATTGCCTCAGTGGAAACTTGATGTACTTGTTTTCAGCTTAGTCTGCAAAGGTGTGTTGCTGGGCAGAAGATAGTTCTGATCCTGTGGAGCAAAAGGTGTGGGTTTTAACAGTCATCCTTTGTTCCTCTTAGGCTGCCTTGGGAGCGGGTTTCTCTGACAAAACTCCAGCCCATACAGTCACCATGGCTTGCATTTCTTCAAACCAAGCTATGACCACAGGTATGTTGGCTGGAAGAACAAGCTGGGAGTTTGAGACTGAGCTGAGCAACTCCTTTAGATCATCCCTTGTTTAGCTTGCACTGCTAAATGAATTCAAGTGTGTATGAAGAATCACAGCAGTGCCTGGATTGGAAAAGCCCTTGAAGCTCATGGAGTCCAACCATGAACCCAACACTGACAAGTCCCCTATGACTAACCCATGTCCCTCAGCACTGTGTCTACACGACTCTTCAGTCCCTCCAGGGATGGGGACTCCACCACTGCCCTGGGCAACCCCTTCCAATGCCTCAGAACCCTTTCAGCAAAGAAATTCTTCCTCACATCCCATCTCAACTGCCCTGGCCACAACTGGAGCCCATTTCCTCTTGTCCTGTCCCTTGGGCCTTGGTTGGACAGACCCACCCCCACCTCTCTCCACCCTCCTCCAAGGGACTTGCACAGAGCCACAAGGTCTCCCCTCAGCCTCCTTTTCTCCAGGCTCAACACCCCCAGTTCCCTCAGCCACAAGGGAACTCAGCACACTTGTGCTCTAGAACCAACAAAATATAACGTGCATATAGTGTCTGCTGTAGATCTGCCAGCAGCTGGACACCCTTTGCATTCAGTGACAGTCTCTGCTCAGTGTCTGTGTTAGCTTGGGAGGTAAAGACTATGTCATGGTAAGGAAGTTGCTGCCTTTCATGCTACTTTCAATTTTAACTTAGACTAAACAGAGTGAAAAAATTGAGATGTGGTTACTGCCCTGAATCCCTGGGAATATTCTTCTCCCAAATGCTGTGTGTAACAGAGAGGTGGAAGCAGAGCTACAGAACTAATATGATTCAGAAAATGTCTGTACAGCCCACTCAGTCATAGAATCATGGAGTGGTTAGGATTGGAGGGGACCTTCAAGCTCATCCAGTCCCAACCCCCCTGCCAGCAGCAGGGACACCTTCCACTAGACCAGGTTGCTCAAAGCCTCATCCAGCCTGGCCTTCAACACTTCCAGGGAGGAGCAGCCACAACTTCCTTGGGCAGCCTGAGTCTCTTGTTAAGCACGTGTTGCATAACTCAGCCAGAGGCTGGAGAAGGAAATAAAATGTACTAATATCCCAGGCACTAAGAGGGTCGGTGTCACTTCTCCCCACAGTTCTCAGAGAATTATTTTAGTTGGAAAAGACCTTTAAGCTCATGGGAAACTGTCTCGTTCTGCAGGTGTGGGTATGATTGCAGCCGGCCAGTGCGACGTCGTCGTAGCGGGAGGTGTGGAGCTAATGTCAGACGTTCCCATTCGTCACAGCAGGAAGATGAGGAAGACTATGCTGACTCTGAACCGGGCCAAGACTTTGGGCCAGAAGCTCTCTCTGATTTCCAAAATTCGCCCTGACTACTTTGCTCCTGAGGTAATGGGTTTTTTTTCAGGCATTTAGATATTTAAGCTGAACTGTTGTATAAGGAGAAAACAAGTTGGCTTAGGTAATTTTATTAACCTCAATGGAGAGGATTTAAAAAGGGAGAGCTGGCTGCCTGTGGCTCACTTTTATTGGATCCACTTTCATTGGATCTGTGTCCTGTGTTTTTGGTTAAAACCTCCACCGATTACTGCACCTCAGCATTCGTGACTCTCCACTCTGTGTTCTTACATGTTGGTCTTCAGTAAACCTAACTTATTGCAAAACCTTCCTTTCCTCCTGCAACTCCTGGATAAACTGTGCTGGAGGCTACAAAATAGAAGCTTTTTTCCATCACTATAAATGCAAAAGTCCTCAAGGGTCAGAAGAATTTTTGTTTCTTGAATAATAGAAGTAACACAGAATCCCAGAATGGCCTGGATTGGAAAAGCCCTTGAAGCGCATGGAGTCCAACCATGAACCCAACACTGACCAGTCCCCTATGACTAACCCATGTCCCTCAGCACTGTGTCTACACGACTCTTCAATCCCTCCAGGGATGGGGACTCCACCACTGCCCTGGGCAACCCCTTCCAATGCCTCAGAACCCTTGCAGCAAAGAAATTCTTCCTCACATCCCATCTCAACTGCCCTGGCCACAACTGGAGCCCATTTCCTCTTGTCCTGTCCCTTGGGCCTTGGTTGAACAGACCCACCCCCACCTCTCTCCACCCTCCTCCAAGGGACTTGCACAGAGCCACAAGGTCTCCCCTCAGCCTCCTTTGCTCCAGGCTCAACACCCCCAGTTCCCTCAGCCACAAGGGAACTCAGCACACTTGTGCTCCAGACCCTTCCCCAGCTCCGTTCCCTTCTCTGGACACGCTCCAGCACCTCCATGTCCTTCTTGGACTCAGGGGCCCAACACTGAACCCAGCACTCCAGCTGCGGCCTCACCAGTGATTCCCAGTGCAGGGGGAAGAGAACTTCCCTGCTCCTACTGGCCACACTGGTGCTGATCCAGGCCAGGATGCCCTTGGCCTTCTTAACCTGCTTAATATCAGAGAGGAGCATCTTCAGTATATTAATGTAATTATCATTTGATTAATGCATCTTAAATATGCCTTATGATTACTGCTCCTGGCCAAATCCTTGCCAGGTGCTGATTGTGTTCAGCTCCCATGTTTGGACCATGATGAGATCAGTCTGTTCATGTGAGGAGTCAGCTGTAGAGGGAGCCCCTCTTCTCTCCTGGAGGTCATCAGAGAGGTGATTTAACCCATGGTGGAGATGGGAAGGAAAAGCCCTTCCCTCCTTACCACCGCCAAGCTCTTCCTCTAGTGTGAGTGCAGTGAGTACAGCAGAGATTAGATCCAAAGTCCAAAGAAGATAGGAAAATTGCTGACCTAAAAGCATCCAGGGATTTCCTGTGTGCTGCTAGAAGAATAAAAGCTGAGCTGAAATCACCTGCTCTCTCTGGTTTTGCTTGAGGAGATGTTTCAGAAGGAGTTTTAAAGTCCCAGGGTGTGTTTTTTTCACCACAGCCCAAAAAATCTGGTCGCCCTGTATAGGACAGTCCTTGTTCAGTGCACAAGGCAGCTGCTCATTGTGTGCATGTGCAAATGCAACACAGTTCTTGAACCCCTGGAGTAAGCAGCAGTGTGGACCTTATTTTTATCCATTTTTTTCCTAAAAAACTTTGAAAGTCATGGTTCCTCTGATACATTTGACCAAGTCACTTCTGGTTTGGTTACCGTGTGTTAATTGCAGAGCTTTAGTATTAACTGCTCTGCTTAATAAACAGAAGGGCCTGACTGGCTGTGCAGGGCTTAACCAACCTCTGAGCTTTATGTCACTGCCCAGGGATGTGTGTTGACTGTGTTTTTCTGTTTGGCAGCTCCCAGCTGTGGCTGAGTTCTCCACCAGCGAGACCATGGGACACTCTGCCGATCGTTTGGCTGCTGCCTTTGCCATTTCCCGTTTGGAGCAAGATGAGTACGCCCTGCGTTCACACACCCTAGCTAAGAGAGCCCAGGATGGAGGCTTGCTCCTTGATGTGGTACCCTTCAAAGTGCCAGGTAAAAGTGCATGTTTCATGGGATCACAGAATCATTGTGGTTGGAAAAGCCTTTTAAGATCATTGAGTCCAACCATGAACCCAACCCTGACCAGTCCCCTATGACTAACCCATGTCCCTCAGCACTGTGTCTACACAACTTTTCAATCCCTCCAGGGATGGGGACTCCACCACTGCCCTGGCCAACCCCTTCCAATGCCTCAGAACCCTTTCAGCAAAGAAATTCTTCCTCACATCCCATCTCAACTGCCCTGGCCACAACTTCAGCCCATTTCCTCTTGTCCTGTCCCTTGGTCCTTGGGAGAAGAGACCAACACCCACGTTTGCCAGTGTGCACTAGTTCAATAAATATTTCATTTAGAAAAGGAGGGGTGGTACTGGGGTCACATCCATGTGTGTATCTGATACAGATTTTAACTCTTTTAAATGCCATATATTTCTCCCTGGAAAGTTACTGACATAGGAGCATGTTTCTAAACATTCTTATCTAAATATATAAATGTATCCTTACAGATCTAAGTTTTGTCACCTTGTATCTGTGCTAATGTGGTGATAGAGGAAGGAAAATCAGAATGGGTGGACTAAGAATCCCCCTGCTATTTCAGTCAGGCAAGAGAACTCATCTTTATACCCCAAGATGATGAAGATGATGGGTGGGAAGAGACCTTGAAGCTCATCCAGTTCCAACCCCCCTGCCAGCAGCAGGGACACCTTCCACTAGACCAGGTTGCTCAAAGCCTCATCCACCCTGGCCACAAACACTTCCAGGGAGGACCAGCCACAGCTTCTCTGGCCAACCTGGGACACTGTCTCACCACCCCCACACCAAAGAATTTCTTCCTAATTCCCAGTCTGATAAATCAGGTGCTGGATAGGAAGAGCTGAGATGTGTTCTGCTTGGCAGACTCCAGTTCACCAGGGATCATATCACGGTTATTGCTCAGATGGGAAACCAGTTTGGGGAGAAAATTGAAGTTGTCCTTTCTGTGGCCTGATTTCTACCCACATCCCCCATCAGCCAGTGGACACACTTTGGTGTAATACCTCTTCATTTTGGCCACTTTTACTCTGTAATTGGTTTCCAAGAGAGACCTTATGTTTGTGCATCTGTAGTTTGATATGTTCTTTATGTTAAAATTGTTACTTTTTATTAACTGGCTTATTTAAGCAGTCGGTGTAGTTGAAGATGTGTATATTTGGTTCTTCCCACTGCTCTTCCTCAAACCTTGGCACATAAATGTATATTGATTTAGGCCCAATTCTCCAATTTAGGCTTTATAACCTGAATTTAAATTCTTTTATCCACTGGCTTTTCCACGTGGTGATTTTTTTCTTGCAGTGAATAGATTGCAGCACTTCATTTTTGCAGTCTGCAGAGAGAAAGTGACACAGCTTCAATTTTGAGGAGCTGTTTCTAAGCTAGTTTACATATCCTCAAGGAGTTTTCCCTTTTTTCCTCCCACACTTCTAGTACAAAACAGCGTTTTCTGATATTTCTTTTTCCTCTGGGCTCCTGTTGTACAAATTCATGGATGTCACTGACTTTCCACGATTAAATCTGCTTTTTTTTAATATTTTTTTCTATCAACAGGCAAAGATACAGTTACCAAAGATAATGGGATCCGTCCTTCCTCAATGGAGCAGATGGGCAAGCTGAAGCCAGCTTTTGTCAAGCCCTATGGAACTGTCACAGCTGCCAACTCCTCCTTCCTGGTAATTCCTGTTCCCATCCCTGTGAGCCAGAGGGGAAAACTGTCCACTTTACCCTCTGCCTCCCATAACCATATAAATCCCACTGGTATCATCTGTGGGAATGAGTTATCTCCTTTGTAATATCACCTGCTTTTGGGTTTTGGAACTCTGTTATCATCTGGTGAACTCCACTACTGGATTTTAAAATCAAGAACTATTTGGAACTATCAGGAATTAAAATGAATTTTTAAAATTCATTTAAAAATCAAGAACTAAACCCCTGAAGTTTTGCTCTGTCTGAGCTACTTGCTTTTCTGTCGCTGCCTCGTGAGGGTTGATCATTCAAAAGCACACATAGAAATTCTGTCCCAGGATGGGATTGATTCCTATTTTAAGTGCAGAATTCAGTAGTTTTAGTCTAAAGTTGTCACTTTAAGGCTTACCCTGTAACCCACAGAGGGGAAGGAGAGATTTCTCTAGCACATCTAGGATGAACAATCATCTGTGTGTGCTTCCTTTTCTCTCTTCAGTGCTTTTAAAGGAAGCTTTTTCAGATGCTGAAGTCTAAGGGAGTTGTGTAAATTAGGTGAGGTGTAGCTGAGCCCCAGTTCCTGAGACTGAGCAGAAGGTGACTGCCACTGCAGGTCTCCCGTGGAGGGCTGGAGGTGACACTTGTTCCTGCACACAGCCCTGACAGGTTCTTGTGGGTTTAAAAGGCTGTTCCATGGTTTATGACCAGCACTTCAAAGGAAGGAAGTGAAAACTGCTGGGGCTGTGTCAGCAGCGATGATATTTACTCCTTAACATCCTCAGGGACTTACAGAGCCTGGCAGTGCCACAGCCTTGGTGTTAGGAACAGGTTGGTACGCTGCCTGCAACAGATCTGTAGGCCAGCTTGGGCTGTTGTCCAAGAAATGAGTGATGGTGGGCAGTGATGTTCATTTTTGC